AGTCAGTCAGCGCAAGTACAGGTATTCCAGAAGTTCATCAGGCAGCCTCAAACTGCTCACAAACTTCCCTATTCCCACAGGGCTGCCTTCAGAAGCTTCTTTTTAAAGAAAGGATAAATGAAGATTATATCCTTGTTCATCTGGAAACTGGCTTTAACCCTAATCTCAACCAAAACTGAACAGTCTCACAGTTCACATGGTCTTGTCACAACTGTTCATTAACTTACAGTAACTATTTTCCCTTACACAAGACAAAAATAAAAACTGAAATAAATATACAAGAGGCAACAGCTAAAAGACACAAAGGTCAAACACAGAGCTACCTGGCAGGAAGGTGTTTGTAAGCAACTGGCCTTTGACTTACTTTCCCATACTTGCATTTTATTTTTTATTAATTCAGTATAAAACTCCGTCTCTATAAATGTTGCTTGCACACTTTTCTGAAATAGACACATTTGAAGGTAGTCGCTATCTGAGAGCATTAAATAACTTTTCTCTCTAATTATTAAGATATATAGCCAAAGTTAACAAGCATTAGCAAGAATAAATTTGTGTAAATAAGCCATTAAAGTCATATTGTAAACAATGACCTAAAAAGTTATCTGTTAGCCTCAAACTACAATGACTTCCATGTAGGTGAATCCCCCTTCCTCTGTTTGCTCTGAGTGCAGGAGGCAAAACCACTCCCAACTAAAAATACGTATATGCTTAAGCACCTGTGAAATGGCCTTTTACAAGCAGGATGTGCCATAATAAGAAATAAATGAATATTTGTTTTCACATATATCAATCAGACCAAAATGTGCTCCCAGTTTTATGGCTATAAAAAAAAAGCAATGATAATTCCTAAAATACAGCTTGGGTTTTTAAATCTACTTCTAATCAGCTGAATGGCACACAGCAAGGACTCAATGTTATGTCTTTGTTGCTATCTATGCAAAAAAATAGTGCCTAAACAAATGTTTTAAAGACAAATGTTTTATAAAGTTTGTCTTTGAAAAATGAAACAAACAAACTGTATCTGATAATTCTTGTGATTCCTTCCTTTGCTGACAAATAGATAAATAACTCAGAAGGGCAGGAAAAAAAAAAAAAGCTAAAGAAAAGTCTAAAGTTTATATACCACTATATCACACTCTAGTTTTAATAGAAATAAAATTAGAACAATTAACTTCATCAGACAAGGGAAAAAAGGAATTAAACTGAGACTTCATCTTCAGGTTTTGGTAGTGCCCTCCATCTTTCCTCCCTTAGATCTCCACATGTTTTGTAGTATTTTTTTTAAGTTATCCTTCAATGCATCCTAAATAATTTGGCTCTAGTTTCTCTTTAAAGCTACTTCAGATCAGTGCCATTATATAGGATGTTCTTCTATAAAAAAAAAAAAAAAGTTTTTGTTAAGATTTTTTTTCTACCACTTCTAAGTTCAGCATATGAGCCTATGTTACTCCCTGCACAGAAGAACAGAGGTAATTCTCACACTTGTAGAAAAGAAAAACAACATGCTTGAAATGCCCCTGGCTCGTCCTGGTACACTCCAGTTGTTAAAATTAGACCATCTTTTTTTCTAAACCATAAACATAACCATCAATATAGATTAAGATTAAATATGGCATAAAATAAACAGAAGAAGCCAAGTCTAAATGTTTCATCTCCTTGTAATCTCAAAACATGCCCTGATTAACTGTTAGAGCTCAAATATATTTGTTGTTTGCATGGTTGTTTTTTTAACACAGGGTCTTTATACACAAATAAACACCAAGACAAAAACCATCTTATCCATAAATCATGAAAACAGTAATGCGTATAAAAAAAGGCAAAGAAGTTATGTTTCTACCTTAAACTAGAAAAGCATTTCAAAAATGTTCAGATTCTAAACTATAATCAGACACTTCAGATTGATCCAATGTCATTTTCACTATCTCAAGAAGACTAAAATATACAAAAATATGATTTTTGCCACAATGCAGGGCTCTTGCGTCCTTACATGCCGAGTTAAACTTGCAGTAATGATAATAACAACCAAAAAAGACATTAAAAAAAGTTATAATTGTTCGTCTGTTTTACCCTGCTTCACTTTCAAATTACAGAACTGGGTAACAGGTACATAAAATACTCCTAAAAGATCCAAGTGCTTGGAACACAAAGCTTCTTAGCTCTTCTAAATACATCAATAGGCACATGGCTCTCACTAAAACCCTATTAGCTTTTCCATGCTACGACACCTCTTAAAACTTTTCCAAAAATTTTTGAAATGTGCTATTAATATTCAGTCTTACATGAAACATGGCACGTAACATCTAAGGCCTAGAATAGTTTAAACAAAAAATACAAATCCACATACCAATAAATAAATAAATAAAACCACATGAAACCAACAGCCCCACCCCAAAACTGAACTACTGAAAAGCTAGAATAAATTATTTGTTGTCATTTTCAACAGGAGTTTATAATTTTTAATTAAAAAAGTCGTATTTACTCCTGGAAGGAGTTATTCAAGCAAGCAGTTTAAACTGTAAGATAATTAACAGTTCTCAGGTGTAAATTTCTGGTTTGTAACTTGTACGTGCACTAACATCCCAGTTCTTGTAAGTATTCATGCATCTGATCACATCTGTTCTAAGACTGGTCCCAGTGATTTCCAACTGAATTATTCACAATCCCCAAACAAATTTGTGAATGGGGCAAATTCTGGCACAATCCCTCCAAGGGTCTTTCCAAACCAGCAACCAACTGACCCCAGTAACAGACACAGCAAGCACCAAGATTTATCCCACTGATGCAAGACACAAATTAACATACACTTCATTTTATACCATGCATTGAAAACCAGGACTTCTTCACAAACGGCACTCTTCAGAACTCCCTTGTCTCAAACTGGTATTACTTTCCTTAGTGTTCAAGTAGCAAAGACCAAAAAAAGAACCAAAGGCACTTAAACTTGGAGTCACTGACAAAGGCAGGGAAGGAACCTACAGTTTGTGACACCCAGTATGTCTCTGACTTTAAATCATCTATCATCTCTCACCAATCATTCACTTACATTGTTTCCCCCTTTATTGAGAAGGTAATACGTTATGATTATATTAAAGAGGTTATGATTATATTAAAGAACAGGGCGCCCAAGAGTGTGTATCCGATGAGCAAGAATCCCATTCTGGGAGCCCCTCGTTGCAGCAGGAGGGCCGAGGCCGGCTAGTTTCAGCAGCAGCACTGCCTCCAGGAGACAACTCAGGGTGTGCAGGATAAGACATCATTCCTACAGACGCTTCCAACACAGAGGGCATTAGGAGCCATGGCTTCCGCACGTCACCTCGCAAAGCCCCTTGGAAACCTGCCCTAGGGATGCAGGCAGTTGTGCGGGGGGTGGCAGAGCACTCACACCTCTCTGGGGCTCCCATGCCAAGGTGACAAATGCTGCAATGGGTGAGCAAAGGAACAGCAGGAAAACAGGCCACTGAGAAGCCCTGGCCATTCCAAAGTAGAGCACTACTTCCATTAGCAACCTGGCAAAGCCAACCCAAAAACCTGCAGGTACTGTAGGAACCTCAGAACATCACATTCACTGGACCAACCACCATCATTAAATGTATCAGCTGCACCACGCTGGACTACAAGGGCTTCACTATTCTAATCCATACCTTTAGCTTTTCTTTTACAGGATATCACATTGTCACAGGATACAGGTATTCTACTACGTACTCTAAATTCTTGCACAAAAATTACCTTTGAGCCAGGGATTTTTCAAATCTTTCATGGCTTCTGGGTGCCATAACATCTCCAAGCTCTTCAGAAGTAATTTCTAATTACTATATCCTCCTTAGCAAAGATACATACACTTCTTCCACAGAGTAATAAGACAGAGACCAGTGTGATATGAACAGTATAAGAAACTAAATCACCGAGTCAGATGTCCTTTAGATGTCAGTATGACCACAGTAAGGAGCAAAAAAATAACACACACACACCCCAGCCCCAAGTTGTCAGGTCAGTTAATAAAACAACGTCTTTCCTCGGTGACTTCATTACGAACAACTCTACCAGTTAATAAATCAAACACTCGTTCTGTATTTTGAAAACGTGCCTTTTAATAAAGGAAACCTGATGGTGCATTTATTGCAAAATGTAGGTGATAAATGATTCTAAGCATAAATGCAGAACTACAAAATGACTTTAAGATTTGAAGGTCACATACAGTAAATGTTCTCATCAAGGTACTAATGACAGCCCCTATCTTCCGTTTTGCATCTATTTTTAAAAGGAGAAAAAAATATATCAAAAGAAGAAATGGAGACAACCAGTGCTGTCATAACTTAAGGAGAGCTGCATTGTTGTCATCCCTCTGTTTTTGCTTAAAAACCTTTAAATACTATAAAAATCTCGCTGAACATGAGAAAATGGAAGTGATGGGAAACACAATTTTATTCTGCCTTTCTACTCTGCTTTCCTTACCAGGAAAATCAATCTAATTAAGGTAACGATGACTTTATGCTTAAGAAGAGAACGTATTTTTCTTCACTTTCACAGACATTCCAAATTCATATCAATTAAGATAGCCAAAAAGATTTTCTTGTTGGTCAAATCTTTTACTTTAAAGTGCTATAGATTTGACTGCAGGTGCAAATCACAGGATTTCACACTCATCTTCTTTTTTTCCCCCCAGAAAATGTATCCCTTATTATTCCGAAATCCCAACAACTTCAGGATACAGAACTCAACAGGAGGGCCTAAAGGGAAGTAAATATACCTCACATACCAGAACCTCATCCATGTCAAAAAAAAAAAAAAAAATCTATTTATATGCATACCTCCATCACAAATAACCAATGCCATACCTTTTTCATCATCACCAGCCTGTTTAAATACAGTAAAACCAAAAATACTTTCAAGTAAAACATGGAGTTATAACAATCCCCTCTTACACATAAATAACAGAGACATTATACAAAGCAGACATTAGTGAGGATGGAAATACACAGAATAAACATATTTAAACTTACCCCATTCTAGATACTCAAGGATATTCTTCTCTCTTCGCAGGGGGGAATTATTACATTCATCATAAAGGCAGATGAGTATATCCAGCAAGGTTTCCACACTGAAGCACTGCCCATTAGTCTGAGTTGGCCCATCCAAAATAAACTGCTCCAGCTGCTTCAAACGTACTTCTCCAGACATGGTTGTTTCAGTTTGCATTGGGGTTGCTTTCTTTTTTTTTTTATTTTGTAGAAAAGAAAAAAGAAATCCAACTTCTGCAGGTACTGCTGCTTAAAAAGAAAAACCCACAGTATTTCTTACACGAGTGTCAAACTGGGGTGGTGCTTAACTTAAACCACCTCGGGGTTCCTTGCTTCAAAATAAAACCTAGTAAGTTTCGACACACGTATAGAGTGTGTATATAGGGTATAGATATATAGAATTTTTAAGGAAAGAAAATAGTTATCCTAAAAAAATGCGTTTAACAGGAAGAAAAAAATATATATATAGTCACTTCTTGATATAAATAATAATAATTAAAATGGAATTCAACCAGGGTTGCCCGACACCAGTTTTACCGTGTGTACGTGCGTGTATATATATACAGATCTATTCCAAAAACTTAAAAAAAAATAATAAAAGAGGCCTCCTTTTTCATCCAAAATTCAAATCATGCAACATAATCCTGGAAGGAATCCCACCGCATCATGGAAGTGCGAAAGCCCCTCTCGCTCTGCATCAGCGATTCGCTCCCCAGAAAGGCTCGAGAGGAGGAGAAAAAACGTAAATGTATTTAAAAAAAAAAAAAAAAATCCAAGCCGGAGGAGGAAGGCGCAGAGCCGCGGAGGGAAGGAGGGAGCTGCCGAGCGCCCCCCGCCTCCGCCCGCGCCGAGCCCAGGGCGCATCCGCCGCTGGGGGCGGGGAGCCGGTCCCCGAGGCGCGGCCCCTCCTCGGGGCACAGCCACCTCCTGCCCCGGGGAGCCCTTCCCGTCCTCCTCACCAAGCTCCTTTTAAGGCTTTTCAGTGATTCCAAAAAAACGAAGTCTTCATTCTTTTTCGTCCCCGCTCCGTCTCTCTCGCCTCTGCTGCGGCGGCGCAGCGGAGGGGGGTGGGCAGCCAGCGGGATTAAGCGCACGTCCCCTCCCGCCCAACGCGGCGGCGCCGCTGGAAAAGGCTCATAACCCTGTCAAATCCTGCCCATGGCCGCGGCGTCCTCCTTCTCCTCCTGCTGCTAGGCCGGGAGCGCGTCCCGCGGAGGCCCCAGGGACTTCACTGTGGCCGAGGAGATGCTCTCGCGGCGCAGCCGCGGCGGGCAAGGGGCATCTTGCTGGCTGCG